GGCTGCCGACCTTCTCTTGCTAATGGATACTGTCTGGCCAATTTGATACTGTCTTTTTGCCACCGAGAGGGATCTGCTTGGAGATTAGGACTTGGACACCTTTCTCAGAACTACTCCTCCCCTGTCCTATGAGGCTGCGACTTGCGGCAGACGTTGGTGGGGGTAGCGCCAAAAAAACGGCCATATGTAAAAAGCTAACGATCATTCCCCACAACCTCTGCTTGGAGAGTAGCGAACCCTCCGCGCGGCAGACCTTCGGGTCAAGGTTTCGTCTTCAGTCAGAGAGGCTGCCTGTGTGTACATGTGGTTATGTTATACATGTGCGTGCGGGAGAGAACATAGGGCATCGCACATTCCCTCAGACACATGTGTATATGGAAGAAAGAAACGCGATATCACACTTTAAGACACGCGTACGTCACAATGTAGCCTCCGTAGCAGGCTTATAGAACTGGGGGTTTGGTGGTCTTCGGCTGTTTTCTGATTAGCCCAGATCTAAAAAAAAAAACGGGGGTAATTCAACCAGGCCGGCTATGTTGTCTATATGCAATCAGAAAATAGCACCCAAAGCTCCCAAAGACCATGACGACCCCCCAGACCCCCAGTTTTTGGCATGCTATGGAGGCTAGTCACAATGGGAGAGAGAGAAGACGCGATGGCTTACCTTCGGGCCCGTCCTTGGTGTCTATCTTGTTCTGTTTGAGCTGGAGTCGTGAGATCTCCGCAGACTGGTTGGAGACCACCCCCCGGAGCTGGATGTTCTCCTCCGTCAGACGGCCCAGCTCGCCCTTCTGCTCAGTCAGCTTGTCCTCCAGCTTCTGCCGATTCTCCACCTGGGCGTGGGCGGAACGTCAGGTGTTCAGAACTTCATACATAACGTCAGGTGTTCATACGTAACGTCAGGTGAGGATGACGCGATCACAAACGTCATAGGTTGTCCTCTAATCTCCAAGCAGATCTTTTTTGGCATGGCGGTTATAAGACAATATATGTGACCAGCCAATTAAAAAGCACATATACAGGAACACCACATATAAACATGATGATCAATGCATCAACGGTGTTCTGTAGACACTGCAGGTCAGTGAAAACCAGATTGTTATTGTAATGTTACAACCCAGGGTGTTGTTTACGTTATGAGATTATAGAAAAAAAGTTTACCTCCTCCTGAAGTTCTTTCTGTAGGTCCTCCGCCTGTGTGGTCAGTTTCTTCTCCAGATCGTCCAGTCTCTTCAGCAGGGCGGCCAGGTCCGGGCTGGGGGTGAGGCCGGGCTCGGGGGTGGGGAGGTCGGGCCGGGGGGTCACCGCGGGGGCAGGGGTCACGACCTGGGTCACGGGTCGGCCCGACTCGTCGGTGACGGGGTTGCCGTCAGCGTCCGTCACCACGGCCACTCTCTGCGTCACCGGCCGGCCGAGTTCGTCCGTGGTCAGGATCACGCGCGTCGTCATCACGGACGGAGCTTCCGTGGGACCTGCGGCGGAATGGATAACCAATATCAGTCATTAGCAGCGTAAAGTACAATCTTCAAGCAGATAAACATAACGTGACAAAGTCATAACCGACCGGCAACATACTATGCAATAAGGCAGAAACAAGGTTTTAACTACTAAGGTACAATCACTTCTGGTGAAACACAACATAAGGCTACCATATATATCTATAGATAGATCTTTCGGTCTAAAGACAGTAGCCAACATTAGTCTTTAGTCGCACAGTCCTGAGTATAATCATCAAGCAGATGATTATAAGGTGACAAAGTCGTAAGGCAAGATACTATGCAAGTGACTCTGCGTATTTTTGCAAATTTGCACAAAAATGTCTACGCTCCATGCAATGCGTACAAACGCCCCTAACGTGCCAATTGGATACCAGTAGTGTCCGGGCAATTTGAGTAATGTATCTTGCCGATTGGTTAGAGATTAGCACAAAAGGTGGGGTGGGGGACACTTAGCAACAACAACAAAAAGACAAAATTTATATCCATGCGTCTTCCTCTAGATATATTTAGGCCCTTTACACATAGTCTCTCTGCGGGACGGACAGAAATTACACACGTAACGTGAGAAGATGAATGAACGTGTCCGTGGCTGATTGGGCGGATCGGGGACTAATCATTACTTCCTAGTGACCCCTAGCCTCTACCAGGCTTCGGGAGGCAGCTTGAAAGAGAAGAAATCGGCCAAATAGAGAGATAACATGCCAGGGGAGTTGGTCTCCTGGGAGAGAATATTTTGCCGCACCCGAAGCCTGTCGGGGGTCGCTACGATCAAACGGGTGCGGCAAAATGTTCTCTCCCAGCAGACCAACTCCCCTGGCATGTTATCTCTCTCTATTTTGGCCGATT